TCCCGCATATCTGACAGTGGTTTGAGTTCCAGACCTGACAGCTTGCTTTCTCACTTTACCCTCTCTCTGTCTCTGGTGAGTGCATGTGCCCTATAGCAAATTTTAAAGTAGTAATAATAAATTAAATAACTATTTAAAAAAATAATAGACTTAGAAATGGAGAATAGGCAAACAGTTGTGACACACTCTACAGTAACTACAGTGTCTTTTCATCCTGTTTCTGCAGTGGTCCTCCCCATCCCTTCCTTTTTTTTTTTCCCCTAAGGTTTTTTGCCGTAAAGTGTGTGCACTTGTCTGTGAGAGAGAAAGAGAGAGAAAGAAAGTGAGAAAGTGGGAAATCATCCCCTCCGGGGATGGTCATGCCACAGTTCCCTCTCCACTCTCTTCCCAGGATTTTGGATACACAGGCACATGTGCCTGGCATGATTTTTAAGCTGCCAGGTCTGGGACTCAATCTATGGTCAGCTATGTGGGAGTCCAGTACCTTAACCACTTCGCCATCCCATGGCTCCGTCCCTTCCTGTTTCTCATTGTCATCAGCCTAGTTCAGAAACCGTCTAGTCTCTCGTGCTGCCCATAGATTAATTTTCTAAAATAGAAATCAGCCTCCTTTTGAAGTCTTGGATGTTTTCTGTGGTTTATCCTACAGAGAGTGGCATTCTGCCTCCATTTTAACCATCTGACCTCATAGCCCACTGATAGCCACTGTAAACCTAAGGCTCATCCTTAGCAGGTTATCTAAGAGAGTTTCTAGAGAGTTTCAAACCTTTGCCTCAAACCATTCCTTTTGCTTATAATGCCTATTTCCCTTTACTTTCTCTGATAATTTATAGCCAGCTTATATAAGAAAATAATTTTTAAAAAGTTAAGCAAAAAGTCAGAAACCAAAGAATATATCATATAATTCCACATATATAAAATCTTAGAGTAGATAAAACTTAACTGTGGTGGGACTGGCAGGTGGCGTGGTGGTTAAAGACGCTGGACTCCCACATGGCTGACCACAGCTCAAGGCTCCGGCCTTGCTTTCTCACTTTCTTTCTCTTAGTCCCTTTCTCATTCTTTCTCTGGTCAAATTAAAACAAATAATAATAATAATAAATAAAGTTAAATAATTCTTTTAAAAAGAGAATTGATCTGTAGTGATAGAAATCAGAAAATAGTTGCTGGAGAGTAGGGGAAAGAGAATTGAATGGGGAAAAAATCATGAGGATTTTTAGGAATGGTAGAAGTGTTCTGTATCATCTTTTGACAATGTACATGGGGGTATACATTGTCAAAATACATCAGACAGAAAACCTAAGAACGCTGCATTCTGTTGGTTTGTTACTTATACCTCTTCCCCACCCCCCACCCCCATAAGAGAGGGCACATGGGAAGTGGTAGTGTAGGGGAGAGAGAGGTGGGTATTTTTGTCACCGTCTCACCATGTCATGATCTTCCTCCTGCTCCAGTCTCCCAGTTAGCTAGGATCACAGGTGTCTACACCACAGGGGGGCTGTTTGGGTCGTGTTGGAACTGAACCAGGGCCTCCCTTGTGACCTCAGCCACCTCACAACAGCACTACCCCACTTGAGACACTGTAGCTGGACCTTGGCTTGTTAAAATTGATTTAACAAAATTCAGTACAGGTTTTTCACAAGACTTCCCAAGTGAAGAAATTGGCAGATAGCACACATACATACATCTTGCTATACTGGCAGAAGGTAGAAGCAGAAATCACCATTGTCAGACATTCGTTCACTTTGAGATTGCCTTAGGCTTCTTGGCTCAGTACAGACTTACTGAATCTTCACACTGACTCTCTTCCTGTCTGTTCTTGGGCTAGGATATCCTGAAAAGATCTCTAAAAGAGGAGATCTGAATAATCCATTCAGATAAGCAGATTCCAAGAAATCAAGATACCGCTGGTCAGTCCCAGAGCACAGCAGTTAACCCAGTGTATGGGGAGCCAGGTTGTACATGACCAGCAGTATTCGAACCTGGCCCCAACAGCTTGAGAACCACACTGGGCACACATGTGCATGCACGCCCTGGATCTTGAGAGAACGGAAGAAGGAGGATTGTGGCATGACCATACATCACTAATGGGTTCTTTCTCTCACGCAAGCCCTAAGACCATGAAAAATAAGGTTTTACTTTTTTTTAATTTGCCTGAAAGCACATGCATTTGCCAGAGAAAGCTACAGAGGGAGAGAGCACCCTCCTCATTGGGGCATGGTCTCTGTTTCTCCATCCCATCAAGAATTGGGCCATGCACACATACCCAGTGTGTTTTTCAAGCCACTAGGGATGGGATTCAGGCTGTATGATTGGACATATGGGGTCCAGTCCCCTTAACCCAGGGCACAGGGCCAGCCTCAGAGAGACCATGATGAAAGAGGCTCAGTCAGCAGTCCTCCAACCTTGAGTAATTATGTGTTCGCACACCATCATGCCCAGTTTTTTTTTTTCTTTATTCATGATAAAGCTTGTGTGTACATACAAGAGAAGCCTGGTTCTGGTTCTGCCATGTCCCTTTCCTCCAGTCCTTCATGCTGTGAGATCCCAGGCACTCAGGCCTATTTTCAGGCTGACAGAGCCCAGGATTCAGAACTGTGGTCAGCATGTGGAAGCCGGCTTTTCCAGAGCAGTGTGTTACTGCTGTGCCATGGATTTAGCCTAAAAAATGTCCCTTTTTTTTTAAACTTGTATTTGTTATTTCTGATTCACTGCATAAATGAATAAGAACTAGTAATGTTTGGGCTAGGTAATGGCATGGTGGTTAAGGTATGGATTCGCTATGACCAATTGCTTAATACACATGTATGCTCAAGATCCCGAAGGGAGGGAGAGGCAGAGGAAGGGGTTGAGTGTGACCATTCCCCATAGAGGGTATTTTCTCGCTTTCTCTCTCTCTCTAAAAAAGAAATCCTTTTTTTGGTCTCTTTTTTATTTTGTTATAGGACCTGTGCAATCACTGGAGACACAGAGATGGAGAGAAAGTGAGAAATCACTCCCCAGGGAGGTGGCCGCATTATAATCCCTTTTCCATTCTCCTCTTGGGGTTTTGGGCTCACACACACACCCAGCGTGAGTTTCAAGCCTTCGTGTCGGGGATGCAAACTGCAGTTGGCCATGTGTGAGTCCAGTGACACAACCATTACGCCATCTGCTGGTCCTTTAAAATTATGCATTAAACTATGCCTGAGGAAATAAATTTATTATTTCTTAAAAAAGAATTACTTTGTTTTATTTGGACCAGAGAGAGAGAGAGAGGGAATGCGAGAAAGCAAGTCCTCCGGTCTGGGACTCAAACCACGATCAGCCATGTGGGAGTCCAGCACCCTTAACCACCATACTATCTGCTGGCCCCAAAGTCAATTTATTAAAACTGTATTTTAAGCTATTCCTTTGGGAATGAAAACTAAAGTTACAGCCTCATCAGAAATGGTCTGTGTGTGGCATTAGTGCATAACTTTTCCTCATCTTGGCCTGTGGCAGACAGCTACCATCCGTTGTTGCATCTTTCCCATTGAGCCTTGTCTCAAACTCTTTTCCGCCTCATATTCCAGGCAGGCAATCCCTCTCAAGTCTTAAGGATGTGTGTTGGACATTCAAGATTCCCACAAAGGGAAATGGGTGGTGGTGGGGGATCAGAATGCTTGCAGTATAACTAGTCATCCATATACAAATGAATCATTAGTTAAGCTGTGGAGAGCGATTAATGATGTTTGGTTATTAAAGATGAGAGACTAATATCTAAAGTGTTAAGTACAGGTTGAGCATCCCTATTCCAAAATCCAACATACTCCAAAGTCCAAAACTTTTTAAATGCTGACATGACAAGTGGAAGATTCTACATCTGACCTCATGTGATGCATTGCAGTCAAAGTGCTACAACACCAAAATGTATAAAATTACCGTCCCGGGCTGACTCCATGGCCTGGTGATTAAGGCAGTTAGATCCTACTTTACATGGCCTACCCCAGTTGATGTCCCGGTGGTTTGAGAAACATGCCAGGCGTGTATGTGTAAGTACCCAGAATCCAGAGGGGGAGGCAGAAATAGGGGAAGGGGTTTGTGGTGTGGCTGTTCTCTCTGTCTCTCTCTCTCTCTTTCTCTGGCAAGCCCACACACCTACTAGCCAAAAAAAAAGTATCCTCAAATTGTACGTATAACATGTATTTGAAACATATGAATTAGACTCGGGGCCCACCTCCAAGATACCTCATTTTGTATATGCAAATATTGTAAAATTGGAAAAAGGCCAAAATCCAAAACACATCTGAACCCAGGCATTTTGGATAAGGGATAAACCCATGCTGGGGGTGTGTGCTCAAGATCCCAAGAGGAGGAGAGAGAAGGGATTGCAGCGTGGCCATCCTCCCTGAGGGGTGATTTCTAGCTTTTTGTTTCTTTCATTCCGACGAGCACATGCACCCAATAGCAAAAACCTCTCCAAAAATAAATAATTTTTAAAATTAATATTCTCAGTTTTATTTTCAGGTATTCAGAAAAAATATAGACCAGACATTAGGAAACTTGGATGTGGCTTCAGCTCAGGGATTGGTTCTGGGAAAGTTACACAAATTCTGCTGCAATACATTTGAACTGAGTGTCCATTAGAACCCTATGTAATTCCACAGTTCTGCAATTCTGAATATAAATAAAAGACCACATATTTGCAGCCAAACCATGTTTTATGGTTTAAGATTATAACCCAGGAAAATGAAAATACTCTCATTAGCGTATATGGGAATAGTTTGTGAAACTGCCAAGTCTTCTAAACCATAAACGTGTGAAGTCACACCTGTGGTATGAGCAGAAGGAAATGTGATTTTAAATGAATAATGACTTGCAGCTTATCTTCAACTTTGAATGAATGAAAGAAGAGATTTTTTTTTTTTTCCTCATTAACTGTCCCACAATTTAGGTTTTAGATTTGGAATGGACTCAGCAAACTCAACCTTAATGTGTAGAATCTTTTTCTTCACCTTTTTTTTTTTTTCCTCTGTTAGCACCTTCTAGCCATTATGGCAACTTCTTCTGAAGAAGTTTTGCTGATTGTGAAGAAGGTGCGTCAGAAGAAGCAGGATGGAGCACTGTACCTCATGGCAGAAAGAATTGCTTGGGCACCTGAAGGCAAAGATAGATTTACCATCAGCCATATGTATGCGGATATTAAATGTAAGTCGGCTGTACTAAGGTCTGATCTATATGTGTGTCATGCTTGCTGGTGATTTCATTAAAAGGTTGTTTATTTGATCTTTGTGGGTTATTTTATATCAGAAAAAAAAGCATGCTGCAGTAATAACAATGAGATTACTGAATAGATGCTGTACCATAAGCTGACCTGTTCACTTAATAGTAGGGCCTGTGTAGCTTTACACATGTAACTCCACCTCATGTAAGGATCTCTACACGTACTTTAAGAGCTGCGTTATACTTCACTGAATGGATGTACAGTCATGTATGTTCTGTTGAAGGACATCTAGAAAGTTTCTGGAAGTTTGTTATTACAAGTGATGTTGTATAGCTCTGTACACTGATATCTTTCCCAGGTTCTCTGTGTAGGCTAGAGCCCTCCAGTGAATTTATTGGTTCAAAATGTTCATGCAGGGACCAGCAGATGGCGTAGCGGGTTACATCACTGGACTTCCACATGTCTGAGCCCAATTTGAGTCCTGGACCTGGTGGCTTGAAACTCATGCCAGGCACATGTGCATGCATGCCCAAGATCCCAGAAGGGCTTGTGGTATAGCCATCCCCCGAGGGGTGATTTCTCACTTTCTCTCTCTCTGTCTGTCTGTCTGGCAAGTACACATGCCCTATAGCAAAATCTCTAAATAAATAAGAACGAAATGTTCATGCATTTAAAATGTTGATAGGTGATACCAGATTGTCTTTCAATAAAATTGTATTATTTAAACAAGTTGTGTAATTGATCTTTGATTATGTGGCTATCATCTTTTGAGAAGACTCAACTTTATACTGAACATAAATAGGGAAATATCAAGCATAATTTTTTATATCCCCATTATAGTTTTCAGTTATGAAAGCTAAGATCAAAACCACTTCTCTTTCAACTTTGCAAAATTACTTTGAATTTATTACCTAGAGGGTCTGATACTTTGTGATTCAATAAAAATTAAGTTTAAAAGCACTAAGTGAATCCTGGATTTTAGAACCTTAACTCTGAAAGAGATTTCTGCAATTCATCTAATGTACATATAGGCAAGACCCAGGAAAGTCTGGGTAACCAACCCCTTGAGAAATTGTGGTACCTTAACTGTGATCATTAATATGGATTCATTTATTTCCCAGGATATGAAATTCTTGTCTTTGATAAAATCCTGTGTAGATTTTAAGCAACACGATACCTCCCAAAACAGACGACCCTCAGTGTGCAGATGGTGGCCAGTTTACCATGTCCCTTGTGTATAAACAGCTGCCCTCATTTAAGAACATACCTCTGTTTTGCTGCTGGAAATGACCAAGATCTCTATCTTTCTACACTGAAATTACTTAAAACCTTAATTTTCAGAAGAAAATATTGTTTAAAATTTGCGATGGTTCAGGAGCCAGCAGATGGTGTAGCAGTTACATTGCTGTACTCCCACAATGGCCAACTACAGTTCAAGTCCCAGACCGGTGGCTTGAAACTTGGCGAGACATGTGTAAATGCATGCCCAAGATCCCAGGAGGAGAAGGAATTGTAGTGTGGCCATCCCCCATACGGGGGTGATTTCTTACTTCTCCTCTCACTGTCTGTGTCTCTGTATTTCTCTCTCTCTTGCAAGTGCACATACCCTAACACAAAAACCTCTAAAAAAAATTATGATTCAGTACTGCCTAATCTGTATTGGCTTTGTTCACTAGCCTGGTAATAATGTCGCCTTTTAAAACTTTGTTTCTGGGGGCCAGTGGGTGGTGTGGTTAAAGCACTGGACTCCCACATAGTCGATTGTAGTTTGAGTCCTGGACCTGGCATCTTAAAATTCATGCCAGACATGTGTGCATGTATGTATGCCCAAGATCCCAAGAAGAGAACAGAGGAGAAGGGATTGTGATGTGGCCATCCCCGTGGGGGGTGATTTCTCACTTTCTGTGTGTGTCTCTTTCCAGCGAGCGCATGCACCCTTTAGTAGAAATCTCTTTCAAAAAAAAAAGGTGTATAGAAAAGAGTCTCACAATTTCCTGATAATAGTCTTACAACCTAACATTTGTATATTGACCAACTTACACATTAGGAAGTGCCTATATTAGCATTTCTCTTAAAGTGGAAGCTAGCTCTGTAGCTTTACAAAACGCACTGGGAAATGCCCAGCTCCTGTTTCTCTACAGTTTTCTGCTGTTGGGAAGGGGAATGTGTCCTCCATTCTAGATCTATACCAGATCAATTTCATTTTAGATTGATTGTGTAAAAGAATGCTTGTTTCTGAAAGAAGCCTTTGAAAGTTACCAATAAATTCCCAAGGTGAAAATCAGCAATAGTTAAAGCTGAAGTTAGTTTAAAAACCTAAGAGGCAGCCTCCATGGGGCAAACGCTGCAGTAGAGTGAAGGCAGAGCAGTCCCTGCGAAAATGTGCCTAGAAAGGAGGTGCTGTTGGGGAAGGGGACAGGGGGACAGCCTACCGTGTAAACTGCTTCCTTATTGCTGGTTGAGCAGCAGGGTTGTTCTGTCAAGGTTGGTGTCTCTGTTTCCAAAATTCCTGTTTGTTTGAGGTTTAACAGATGGATTTGGACTGAGATGAGAGCACTAGATAGTGTGTCACACTATCGTAAATGGCCCTTCATTGGGACAAAACCCCCATCTGTTTCCCTAATGAAGGAGAGAAACGCTTGCCAGGAGGGCCTATTTCACAGTGTGAGGTCTTTGTTATGTAGGTACATTTTGATATTTCTAGCCCAGTCTTTTTATTATGAAAATCCTCAAAGTCATAGAAAAATTCAAAGAGGCATAATGAATACCTGTGCATAATGAATACCTGTGTAATGTATCCCACCTAGGCACTACAGTTGTTATTTTGCTGTCTTTGCTTTATTATTTGTGTGTGCACTTTTATTATAATGTCATTATCACACCAAGACCATTTTAATAAATATCCAGACAATTGTTGTATTTCTTCAGTTTTCCCAGTAATTTAGTCTTTATGGTAGCTATGTTTATTTAAAAACCAGTATCTGATCTAGGTTCCCATAGTTGTGATCTCTTTAGTCTCTTTCAATGTGTAAGTTTGTAAAATATTACAGGGGCCAGCAGGTGGTGTGGTGGTTAAAGTGCTGTCCTCCCACATAACTGACTGCAGTTCAAGTCCTGGAGATCCATCTGCTTGAAACTCAGGCTGGGTATGCATGTGTACATGCCCAGAATCCTAGGAGGAGAGTGGAGGAGAAGGTACTGCAGCATAGCCATCTCCACTGGGGGGATAATTTCTCACTTTTCTTTTCTCTGTCTCTTTGTCTCTCTGGGCTAGTATACTCACCCTGTAACTAAAACCTTACCAAGAAAAAGAAAAGAATATTCCATACTCTGAATATGTTTGTCTCTTCGAGGTTTTTGGTTTGTTTGTTTTTTGAAGAATTATTTTATTTATTTATATTTTTAAAAATTTGACGAGAGAGAGAGCAAGCCGCCAAAGTTCGGGACTCAAACCATGGTCAGCCATGTGGGAATCCAGCAGCCTTAACCACCGTGCCACCTGCTGGCCCCCAAAGTTTTGTTTAATCTACTCCTGTATATGTATATGTATATTTCTTATAAATTAAAAGTCAGAGATGAAGCCTTGGTTATATTCAGGTTAAACATTTGGGCAAGAATAATACATAGATGGTGATGTTCACTTCCAATTCCATCACCTCAGAGAGCATGTAATGTCAGGTTGTCCTGCCTTTTCTTTCTTTTTTTTAAACTCTTGTAGTTTTCTACAGGGTGCTTATGCTGGTCAGACTGAGTCAAAGTGTGAAATCACCCTCTAGGGCAATGTCTTCTCCATTCTCCTCTTGGGATTTTGGGCACACATGCAGTGGGCATAATTTATCAAGCCACCAGGTCTGGGATACGAACTGCTCAGTTAACCATGTGGGATCCAGCTGCCATAACCTTCATGCCACTTTCTTATCCCTAATATCCTTTTAATGAGGCTAACTTTGATCACTTGGATAGAGTGGTGACACCAGATCTCTCAAATGTAAAATGTAAACCTACCTACCTGTCTACCTTGCCAATTAATTAAGCCTTAGACTGTCTTGTGTAATCTTTTGGATCATGACCAATTGTTTTCATTGCTGATGTTGATTTGAGGCTGTTTAAGGTGGTTTCAGGGCTCCTAAAATAGCTAGTAGAAAGCCTTCAAGAGCTCTGCCTGTCCTGGTTGAGTAGGAACAAAGCCCATGATAGCTGGAGGAGGTCACTGTAGGTGAGAAATGCTACGCAAAGCGGACACTGGTTGGGGCACACTGCTAGCCATGCGCTAGTTTAGCTGTGTTCTGCATATGTGGGGTCACTCAGGAAGAGTACATTTCTACAAAGGCACCTAGACTGGAGCAAGGCAGCTAGAGTGCCCAAGGGAGTCCTGCATCTTCTGGAGAAGAGTGCTAACCTATTGGATGGCAGTTTCCACAGTGTGTCTTCATCTAATTCACTTTATGCTTTTATTTAGGCCAGAAAATTAGTCCAGAAGGAAAAGCTAAAATTCAGCTTCAGCTGGTCCTGCACGCAGGGGACACAACTAACTTCCATTTTTCCAATGAGAGCACAGCTGTGAAAGAGCGAGATGCAGTAAAGGACCTTCTTCAGCAGCTGCTGCCCAAATTCAAGAGGAAAGCAAATAAAGAACTGGAAGAGAAAAACAGGTGAAGGAGGAAGAGAGTCACCTTTTGAGGAGATAACTAGTTCCTCTCTAGTCTCTTGGTAGAACAATAATTGCATTATTACTTCTCTCCCTTCTGCTCTGATATCATAATACAGAAAATATATGGGTTTAGGTTTCTTTATTTGTGTGCTTGATTCTCAATTTTAGCACCTTACTAACTGTAGGACTTTGAGCAAATGAGAATATGCAAACCCAGAAGTTAAATTTTAACTATATCAAATAGAACATCTGATTAGGAGCAGAACTGAGAATAGAAGATGCTAAGACCCTTACTTTCTTTTCCCAATTCTCTTTCACAGAGAAGATTCTAAACTATTAGAAGTGTGCTATGCTTGTGAACAAGAAGCCTGCACAAATTCACACTATAAAAACTTGAGACGTCATCATACAAAATAATGAGAATTTCTGACAAGATGAATTTTTCTGTCACCCATATCTTTCAGGTCATCAGTGCATATAGCTTCAAATACATCTCTCTGTGAAAACTTGGTTGTTGGAAAATTTCCAGCACATCTCCTCTCCTCATTCTCCTTTGTGTGGAAGAACACATGGTGCAAACACACAGTCATCTTTGTATCACTAGGTTACGGATGAAAAGGACGAATCCATGCCCTCAAACAGCTTAGTCTTTGCATCTCATCTCTGCTTCTTTATCCCTTCAAATTTGGCTTGTTTTTTGCTTTTAATTATTTAAAATGAACTAAATGAACTGCTTGGTCATCACAAAATAAAGTAGAAGTAGTTCATTGTTTCCTGTCACTAAGGCTGTTCAATGTATTCTTTCACCAGAATGCTGCAAGAAGATCCTGTTTTATTTCAGCTTTATAAAGACCTTGTTGTGAGTCAGGTGATAAGTGCTGAAGAATTCTGGGCCAATCGTTTAAATGTGAATGCAGCAGATAGTTCTTCCACATCCAATCATAAGCAGGATGTTGGCATTTCTGCAGCATTTCTGGTATGTAACCCTTCTAGATTTCTGAAGGAAAAAAATGTTAACCCCCCCCCAATTATGTTAACAGTGTTATTTCCTCTGTATAATAAACATTTCCTTAGAGTATATTAATAAAAAAATAGTTAATGTTGTATTGTAAAATACTTTAAAATACACATATTTAATACAAAGTTAGTGGTCTAGTGACCTTCATATATTCTAGAAGGAATAAGATTTTTTTAAAATATATCCAGTAGGAAAATTGAGAATACCTTAATCGTAGAATTAGAAAATGGAATTCAACCAGTCTGTACTCCAGTAAAACCATAACAGTATTTATATATTCAGCAAAGATTTGAATGTTAATTGTATGTTTGGTATTTCTGGGTGTTTAGTAGTGAACTGAATTCATAAGATCTTTCCTAGAGAGATCAGGTAATTGTTTACTTTTTCAGTGACCGAGGTTTATAGTGGTTTGATAGCTCTGCAAGTTTTATTGTAAAGTACTAGCTATCCATTGTCAGCCATACTTACACTATTTGACCATATTCAGTTGTCAGGGAAGGGGATCTTACAAGGCACTAAAACTGAAACTAGCCCGGGCATCTTTGAGCCCGGGCTCTCTGCCAGAAGTGAAGGTGCGGGACTTACCTCGCTTCTGCAGTTCGTTTACGAAGTCCATTTCCCCACCTTTGTCTAGTATGTTTGAGCTTCAGCAGCTTCCCTGATGTTCTAATGTGTATGTGTATTTGCATATGGATTTTGTTTTAGGCTGATGTCCGGCCCCAAGCAGATGGCTGTAATGGTTTGAGGTATAATTTAACCTCTGATATCATTGAGTCCATATTTAGGACCTATCCAGCAGGTAAGAAGGGTCAGTTCTGTCCAGATGGTTAAAAATTTTTTGTTTGGATGAATCATGTATTAATGGAAGACAAAAAAGCTTTCCTTTTATTTGTGATCAAGTGTAATAAAACACATCAAATACATCAAATGCATTACCCAGGGTCTGACATATGGTTAATAGTAAAGGCTCAGTAAATATTGTACTATCAACAATGCATTGATGGTTTTGACATTCTTCCCATCAGTGATTTTGAAACTTTATCCCTCAACACACCTGAGCAAAATGACATATTGCAGAGTCATCAATACATGAGTCTCTCTCTGAGAGCACTAACTCAGATCAGCCTTCATACTGTATCCAGAGGGACTTTCCTCACAAATCACTTTCCATGTAGAAGCAGTCCTGAAAGCATAGAAGCCCTGACCCCACCCCTAATGATTTATGAGGTTCAGCCATTGCTTTCTTAAAACTAACAGTGCTCTCTCAAGCCACAGACTGTTCTCTTTTCCACTTTCCTGCTGCTACCCCTTTAAGATATGCTTCCTTAGTACTGTATCTGTTTCTCAGGACTCGGCTCGAACAGCTCAGTGGCCTCATTGCCACTGCTATAAAATCCTGATTCCAGACCAACTAATAGCATGGAAGGTAAGCAGCTGGATTCCACATGGCCAGCTGCTTAGTTCAAGTCCTAGACCCAGCGGCTTGAAAAACACTTTAGGCACATGTGCATTCATGCCCAGAATCCTTGGAGGAGAAGGGACTGTGGTGTTGCAATCCCTCGGGGATGACTTCTCCCGTTCTCTCTCTGTCTCTCTGCTTCTCTGGTGAGCACACAAGCCCTATAGCAAAAACTAAGGATTTCAACCTGTTCCCGCAGATATAGACCTCCTATTTCCTTCTATCGTGATTTATGTTGGCCTCTATGTAATGTAATTTTTTGTTTTTGTTTTTGTTTTGTTTTTTTGAGAGTTTTTTGCTATAGGACACATGCACTCACCAGAAAGACAGAGACAGAAAATTAGAAATTACCCCTCTGGGGGATGGCCACACTGCAGTCCCTTCTCCATTCTTGGGCATGCAGCACACACACACATCTGCATGAGTTTAAGCCACCAGTTCCAGGACTCAAACCGTAGTCGACTACATGGGAGTCCAGTGACATAACCTTTACGCTAGCTGCTGGTCCCTGTAATGTAATTATTACCTTGTCTTTTTTATTCTTTTAAGGAAATTTTTTGCTATATGGTGAGTGCACTTGCCAGAGAAACAGAGAGAGGCAGAGAGACAGAAAACGAAAAATCACCCCCCAGGGGGATGGCCACGCCACAGTCCCTTCTCCATTCTCCTCTCGGGATTTTGGGCACGCACATACGTGCCCGGCTTGAGTTTCAAGCCTCTAGGTCCAGGACTCTAACCACAGTTGGCCGTGAGAGTCCAGTGATGTAACCATTACGCCATCTGCTGGTCCCTCGTCATGGCTTTTTTTAATGATAACGTAATCGAGTAGTGTTTGCCATACACCACACACTATTCTAAGGCCTGTTTCTGTTTTAACTCATCAGTCTTCATAATACTCTGTGTTCTGATTCTCATTTGACAGGTGAAGAAACAGGTACAGAGAGACTAACTTGTCCAAGGTCACACATATAGTAAATGGCAGATGTAGAATTTAAACTCAGACTCTGGTTCTGGAGTCTTGAACATCATGCTCCCTAGACCAGAAAATTCCAGAGTTCCAAACTTACAGAGCATTGGGTATTGGAGTTTTATTTTCCCACCACCTGACAACTATCTTGGATTGAGAGTGTATATACATAAAAGAATAAGCAAACTCAGGTCTGACGGCTAGGATTCTTGGCGTTCCTTCTAAAACTTCAAAACTAAATTCTCGGGGTACAGGGGCCCACAGGTGGCATGCTAGTTAAGATGCTGGACTCCCATGTGGCTGCCAGTGATTTGAGTCTCAGACCTGGTGGCTTGCTTTCTCACTTTCCCACTTTCTCTGGCTTTCTCTGGTCACAATGTAAAAACAAGAAGAAATAAAATTAACTCTTAAAAAAATTTATCTTGGTACAAAATAGGGTTTTTACCATATTCATATGCTTCACATGTCTCAAGTTATATTTCATAATTGCAATTAGATTATAATATGCAATTTATAAAGCCGAAAGTATCATAATCTGGTTCTCGCTATTGATTTCCATGTTAGTTACCTAATTTGAGAGGTTTTAAGCAGTGCAGATTCAGGCCAGCCATGGGCGCGTAGTGGTGATGCCGTGGTCTGCCATGCAGCGTGGTCCCAGATTCGCACCCTGAGGCCTGTCCGTGTACAGAGCTGTGTGTGCACACACCTAGGATCCTCGCAGGCTGGAGGGGTCTTTACAGTGGGAGGGCCTTGCTGGGGCTGCCCCTCTTGCTATCCGTCTCCTCCCCTTGCCTCTCTCGTTCTCATCTCTTACATGAAAGATAAACAAACTTTAAAAAAGGAAATAAGTGGAAATGCAATATGTATCTCTTTCTTACGGTTTTTTCCCCCCACAGTAAAAATGAAATATGCAGAAAATGTTCCCCACAACATGACAGAGAAGGAATTCTGGACGCGGTTTTTCCAGTCCCATTATTTTCACAGGGACCGGCTAAATACAGGGTCAAAGGATCTCTTTGCAGAATGTGCCAAAATAGATGAAAAAGGTAACTTTGTGTGTGAAACACTCTAGTATTTGATGTTCCTCTTTAGTCATTAGAGCTGTTAATGATTTTCTTTAAATTTCTAAGAATAAGATGAACTTCTTATTTTATTAATTTTCTAGGGTTAAAAACAATGGTTTCGTTAGGAGTGAAAAATCCACTATTAGATTTGACAGCTTTGGAAGATAAACCATTAGATGAGGTAAGAAATAATAAAAGGAGTTATAAAAGAAAACAGTGTTCCTAGTCATCTACATTTTTATAATTTAAAAAAATTGTAAAACAAGTAAACTATTAATATTTTATGTGAAGTGAGGCATCAGAAGTGCTTGTCAGTAGTGCTGTTTGCCATTAAAATTGACATGGAAACCAACCAGCAGATGACATAATGATTATGTTGCTGGACTCTCATGTAGTCAACTGAGTACCAGATCTGGCAGCTTAAAACTCATGCTGGTGTGTGTGTACATGCATGCCCAAAATCCTGAGAGGCGAAGAGATTGTGGCATGATCATCTCCCCTGAGGGGTGATTTCTCACTTTCTGTCTCTCTAGTGAGCACGTGCACCCTATAAAAAAATCTCTCCTTAAAAAAAAAAAAAAAAATCACCTTGGAGAGAGCCAGCCCCGTGGCCTAGTGGTTAAGAGAGCCAGATCCCAAATCGCCCACTACGGTTTGGATCCCAGACCCAGACACTTGAGAAGCCAGGCACAGGCATGTATGTATGCTCATATTCCCCCAAAATCCTCCCAAGGTAGGGAAATGGAGGAGGAGGGATTAGGTCATGGTCATGTCTCATTGGTGGGTGTTTTCTCCTCATCCTCTCTGTCTCTGGGAAGCACGTGTGCTTTCTGGCTGTTAAAAAGAAAAGAATCTAGGTGTTTTGTGTGTTCTGTTGCTAATAAGAAAAAATATTTGAGTTTTTTTTTTTTTTTTAAGAGAAATTTTCATTATAGGGCATGTATGCTCACCAGAGAGACAGCAAGAAATCTCTCTCTCACACACACACACACACACACACACACACCCAGGGGAGATGGCCATGCCACATTCCCTTCTTCTCCATTCTTCTCTTGGGCTTTCAGGCATGCACGCACATGTGCCTGGCATGGGTTTGAAGCCACCAGATCTAGGACTTAAACTAGGGTCGGCCATGTGGGAGTCCAGCAACATAACCATTACGCCATTTGCTGATCCCTGTACCTGAGTCTTTTAAAGTTGATTTTTGTATTTGTGTGAAAGAAAGAGAAACACAAGCACCCTCAATAAGCTCTCCCACCTTAATACCCCCAGGCCCTCCTAGTCAGCCAAGGTCAAAGGCTTTTGTTTCCAGCATTTACAGGTTGACAAGAGAACCAAACCCACGATCTTCCATATGGATCCAGCATCCTTTGATGCAGCAAGTTACTGCTATGCCACCAAGCCAGCCCAAAACTTTAAACAATAATCACTGAGCTCCCCCATCATCAGTTCTCTAAATTATAATTTGTGATGGGTCCAGCTTTATGGACTCTAGTATAAAATCCTAATTTCAGACCAGCTAATGGTATAGCGGGCAAGGCAACTGGATTCCACATGGCTGATTCTGCAGTTCAACTCCTGGACCCGATAACTTGAGAAACACTCCAGGTGCATGTGAAAGCATGCCCAAAATTGTGAAAGGAGAACAGAGAAAAAGGGATTGCGATGCCACCATCCCCCCCGGGGATGTTGTTTAAAGAAATGGACAGATATTTGTAGACAAGAAAGATAAACATTGCCAAACCAGGACCACTCATGACCCTTACCCTACACTAGCCTGTTAATTTTCAACAACTAGTCTGTCAAAACAGTACAAATTGTCTGTCAGCATTGTGACCCACAGATTTATCCAATCCCAGAAGTCCCTTCTGATGAAGGCTAATGCCAGTCCACCTCCTGTCTTGTATGCCAGGAACCTGCCAGCCTCACTTACTCCCTTCACCCTATATTTTCATTTTCTTCCTTTTTTTCCCTAATTGCAAGAGATTGCACACACTCAACCAGAGGGGGAGAGAGAAAGCACCTCCTGATAGGGCATGGTCTTTCCTCTATTTCTCCATCCTGTCAGGTCATGGGTACATATGCACACACTCACATACAGTGTGCTCTTCAAGCCACAGGAGCCAGGACGCAAATCCCTGGTCAGCTCTGTGGGACCCTCTGCACAGCCCCTGATTCCTGTGCCACAGGGCCAGTCCTGCCAGTCCTATTGGATTTTTTGAAGTTTATTTTTATTTCTTACAAGAGAGAGATAAGACAGGCAAGACACTCTTGTCAGGGTCTCCTCACACGACCATGCCTTTTCCTCAGCCCTCTAAGCAGTCAGGATCTTGGCAAACACACCAGCATATTTCAGATTAATTTATAATCCCAACTCATGGTTTGCCACTGGCCACCAGCACTGCAGATGAGTGTGCTTCTACCTGTGCCACCAAGGCTGGGTCTCTGTGTACTTTGTAACTTACTTTTTTCATTTTGCTATTTTTTTTTCTTTTTTCCTCTTTTTTTTTTTTAAGAGATTTTTGCTATAGGGTACATGCATTAACCACAGAGACAGAAAGTGAAAAATTACCCATGGGGGGATGGTCACACCACAGTCCCTTCTCCATTCTCCTCTTAGGATTTTGGGCACACACGCACACGCACCCAGAATGAGTTTCAAGTGGCCAGGTCTGGGATTCGAGCCACTGTTGACCATGTGGGAGTGTCTAGTTCCTTAACCACAACTCCTGATGGCCCCCATGTTGATTTTTTTTTTTTTGAGGTTATGCCTTAGGACACATGCTCTTACCAAGGGGAGAGAGAGAAAGACAGAGGAAAAGTGAGAAACCATCCCCTCAATGGGGGTGGCCACACCACAGTCCATTCTTCTTCATTCTCGTGGGATCTTGGGCACACACACTCATGCTCCCAGCATGAGTTTCAAGCCACCCAGTCTGAGACTCAAACCATGGTTGGTCATGTGGGAGTCCAGCAACACAACCAGTACACCATCTGCTGGTCCCAACATTGCTTATTAGCTTTAGTCTAAATTGAATATACCAGATATTCAGTTAAAGATTCTTTTTGTGATTCTAGAGGGAGTTTGAGAAATTTCTTATTTTTTTATATATGTAATGTCACTTATTTTTAAATATTTACCTATAAATACTTAGTAATATTCATGTGAATTAATAGTCTCATCAGTCAGCAAATATTTTTGACCTAGCATCTTTTTTCATAATAGATAAAGTCAAAACTTTAATTTGTTGAATTATTTTTCATAGGGCTACGGTCTGTCTTCTGCACCATCTACTTCCAGTTCTAAATCCATTAAAGAGAATAGTAATGCTGCCATCATCAAACGGTTTAATCATCACAGTGCCATGGTCCTGGCAGCAGGTCTCAGGAAACAGTTAAGTATACGTGCAAAGGTGCGGTAACTGGCGGTAGCCACATGGAGGTGTGGTGTTTTCCTTGTGGTTTTTAACCTTATTTTTTTCCCCTTTGTTTTAAGGGAAGCACAAAATGAACAAAACGGTGAGCCCAGTGGTACAGATGGAAATTCTGGAGATGCAGACTGCTTTCAGCCTGCAGTCAAAAGGGTATGGACAAATCATTTGGATCATTTGGGGCTCGAGTTTCCCCAGACACCTTAGATAACCACACTTGATTTTTGGTGGTGAACAAGTTGTCCAAAATCTTGGTTTCGCTGTGTAAATTTTCACAATATTCAGTGGTTAATGTTGGCTCTAAGTATTCTTTTGAGTCTATGGCTAGAGTGAGAGGTTGGGAAACAGTTGTAGACAAAGTCCCACATTTACAAAGTTTTCAGTTAAGTATGGAAGGTAGGAGGACTAATACGTAGGCCTTGGCAGAGGTTAGAATTGGGATTCTTACGGGAGCTTGGTAGGGATATGACTTAGAGCAATAGCAGAAGTAGAAATGACCTGGACGTAAGTGAAAAATAATGAACACATCAGATACCTTGAAGTTAGTTGAAGGGTTTAGAATTGACAAAGTAGTGAACAGGTAGGCCAAATCTAGGTAAAGTGAGATTTGAGTGTCAGTTGAGGAGGTCAGATTTGTTCCTGTACCATAAGGAGATTAGACTCTTTTTAAATAGGAGCAATTTGGGACCAGCAGTTGACGTAATGGCTATGTCACTGGACTCCCATGTAGTCGACTACGGTTTGAGTCTTAGACCCGGTGGCTTAAACTCACGCTGGGGGTGCGTGCGTGCGTGCCCAAGATCCCAAGAAGAGAATGGAGAAGAAGGGATTGCTGTTTGGTCATTCCCCCTGGGGGAGTGATTTTGTGCTTTCTGTCTGTCTGTCTGTCTTTCTGGCGAGTGCATGTGCCCTATAGCAAAAACCTCTCAAAAAAAAGGGAGGGGGGCAGTTTTAGGCGGCTAGGTGGCATTATGGTTAAGGTACTAGACCCCATGTGGCCAACTGCGGTGAATCCTGGATTGGTAGCTTGTGCTCCCATTTTCCCCCTCTCTCTTCGCTCGCTCTCTGTCTCTCTGGTCAGATTAAAAAGTAATAATAAATTTCAAAATTAAAAAGGTAGAGGCAATTTAAAATACTCAATTTTCAAATTGACTATTTTCAAGGTATATTTGATGACCTAACTTCTGATTCTAGTCTTGATAGCTAAAAATGAGAGTTGACTAGATCAGTTTCATGGCTCTATAGATGATGAGCTATTGTAGAGTCGATTTTCCCATACACTCATACAGATTATCTTTTTGTGTTTTCTTTTTTAATAATGTATTTAAAGACTGTAGATGTTTTAGCAGTTGTTACTGGCATAGGACCAAACAGATTAGTAAAACCAAAATAAAGATATCACATGCATGCAAAATACATGCAAGATTTATGTATATACGAGATACACGTGACATATCATCAGTGGGAAAAGACAGGTTATTCTACAAATAGTGTTAGAAGAACTGGTTAATGGGACCAGCAGTTGGCATAATGGTTATATTGCTGGAATCCCATGTAGTCAACCACAGTTCAAGTCCCAGACCCGGTGGCTTAAACTCAGGCCAGGCGTGGGTGCATGTATGCCCAAGATCCCGAGAGGAGAATGGAAGAGAAGGGATTGCTATGTGGCCATCCCCTGCCCAGGGATGATTTCTCGCTTTCTATCTCTCTGTCTTTCTGGTGAGTGCATGCGCCCTATAGCAAAAACCTCTTCCAAAAAAAAGAACTGGTTGGGAACCAGCAGTTAGCGTAATGGCTATGTTGCGGGACTCCCACATAGTCAACCGCGGTTCGCGTCCCGGACCCAGTGGCTTAAAACTCACGCCGGGCACGTGTGCGTGCATGCCCGCCCAAGATCCCAGGAGGAGAATAGAGGAGAAGGGATTGCGGTGTGGCCATCCCCCCTGGGGAGTGATTTCTTGCTTTCTGTCTCTATGTCTCTGTCTGTCTGGCGAGCGCACGCACCCTATAGTGAAAATCTCTCCAAAATAAAAATCTCTCCCAAAACAGAACTGGTTAATAATTAATAAAAAGTAAATAATAAAGTCATAATACTTAATAAAAAGAAACTCGAGATTTTCTTCCTCTTATTCCAAAATAACCTTCATGTATATTCAAGATTGAAGCAAAAATTAAAACACAAAAATACAAATAAAAAAGGATGGAAGGAGATATATTTGAAGTTAAGAGAAAGTACAATGTTTGGCAATATAAATAATAAAAGACTAACTTTCCTAAATTCAGAAAAGTCTAATTTTAAAAAAAATCAATAGATAACTACCAAAAAGCATTTATTTAGGGGAAAAAATAAAATAACAAACTTTCATCTACCAAATTGACAAAAACTTAGTAATATGAGAAATATGGAAAACAGGGAAACAGATATGCTATGTAAGTGGTGGATGAAAAAATTGTTTTAGTCATTTATAGGACAGTCTCGGGAAGTGACACTTCTGGATGGAAAGACTTCTTTTCTTTTCGTTTCTTTTTTTTTTTTTAATTTGACCAGAGAGGGACAGGTGGGAGAGAGAGTGGGAAAATGAGAAAGCAAGCCACCAGGTCTGGGACTCGAACCATGGTCAGCCATGTGGGAGTCCAGCATTCTTAACCACCATGCCATCTGCTGGTCCCAGGAAGATTCATTTTTTACCCTCTGTACAGTATTATTTTTTCAGTGACGTTCATGTCTTGTATAAGGGAAAAGTTACTGACAAAAAGTGCTATATTGCTTGTAGGCAAAGTTACAAGAATCCATTGAATATGAAGACTTGGGAAAAAATAATTCCATAAAAACAATTGCACTAAATCTCAAGAAGTCAGATAGGTAAGTTTGATCAGTATTAAATTAACTTGATGCAGAATAGTTACCTGTCGCAATTCAGCGGAAAATATATTCAAGTGTACCACTTGTGTTTTAATCAGTTCGTTACCATAAAAAAGAGTCCATTTTCCTTAAAACTTTATGTGATACATCTCAGGGAAGCATACTAAATTACTAAAGCCAGGAAAATAAATTCTGAATCTTTGTGCTATTTACTTATTGCCCCTTTGGGAATCAAATTATTTTTTTGAAATTCCTTTAACTAGTGTCATGTTTATTCTTGAGGTGGGGAATGTCTCATCGGTCACCAAAGTTAAGCACATTTACTCTGTGTGATGAGTCATTTCTTCTCTGCCAACCTTCAGGTATTATCACGGTCCAACTCCAATCCAGTCTCTGCAGTATGCAACAAGTCAGGACATTATTAATGCTTTTCAGAGTATTAGACAAGAAATGGAAGGTTATACTCCCAGGTTAACTCAGGTAGGTCATATGATGTGCTGTTTGAACACCAGAATTCTCATATTTCCTTTCTTGGTTTATAAGCACAAGCAAATTGAACTATACAACTAATATTTATAAATTGGGTTAAAGACCTATTTCTGCTAAATACATTGAAAATCAGCAGGTGGGGGGAAAAGGTGTTTGGCATATTCAAGAAGCATACAAAGAGGGACTGGCAGGTGGCATGATGGTTAAGGTTCTGGACTCCCACATGGTCGACCACTGTTTGAGTCCCCGACCTGGCAGCTTGCTTTCTCACTTTCCTACCCTCTCCCTCCCTGTCTCTCTAGTCAAATTAAAAATAATAATAATAATAAATAAAAGTTTTAAGTAATTTTTTAAAGAAGCATACAAAGATAAGATGTCAATGGAAAATAAGGTATATATTTTGTGATTACTTATTCTTTTCTTTTCTTTTTTAAATCATTTTATTTAACCATTTATTTATTTTATTTTGCCACAGAGGAACAGAAGGAAAGACGAGAGAGAGAGAGAGAGAAAAAGCAAGCTGCCAGGTTCAGGACTCGAACGACGGTCGGACATGTGGGAGTCCAGTGTTCTTAACCACCACACCACCTGCCGATCCCATGATTACTTATTCTTTACTTTCCTATACTTGTTTATATTGGGAAAATTGCCAGGATTTCCAAATTCCTTCTGGACATTACATATTCTACATGACTTCAAACTCAGAATATATAGAAGTCTATTATTGCTGCTTTATTTTCCTTTCTTTTCATACCTAACTGATTACCAAGTTCCGTCAGTTCTTCCTTCAGTAATATTTCTGGATTCTGTCACCTTACTGGCAATTTTTCAGAATAACTTATAACTGTAAATCATCCTTCTCTTAAAAACATATATTCAATCTCATCACTGAGGCTTAAAAACCCATCTTCCTTCATTGTCTAATAGAGTAACTTTGTCTGACAGGTGAGACCCTTCCTTTTTTCTTTTTTTGAGAGACAGACTTTTGCTGTAGGGCATGTGTACTCACTGGAGAGACAGAGACAGAGAGATAAAGCGAAAAACCACCCTCTGGAGGGGACAGCCATGCTGCACTCCCTTTTACTTCATTCTCCCCTTGGGACATGCGTATATACAAACACAGCATGAGGTTTAAGCTACTGGGTCCAGGACCCGGACTCAAAACTGTGGTCAACCATTTGGGAGTCCAGTGCCTTCACCATGCCACCTGCTGGCCCCAGATCTAATATCTCTTTGATCTCCTTTAATTATGTGGTTTTTTTATGGTACCTCTTTGTGTGTGTGTGTGTGTGTATATACATGTTTGTATAAAATACTTTTAAGGGACCAGCAGTTAGCGTAATGGCTTATGTCACTGGACTCCCATGTAGTTGACTGCGGTTCAAGTCCTAGACCCAGCGGCTTAAACTCAGGCCGGGTGCTTGTGTGTACGTGCCCGAGATCCTGAGAGGAAACTGGAGGAGAAGGGATTGTGGCGTGGCCATCCCCCCTGGGGGGTGATTTCTCGCTTTCTATCTCTCTGTGTCTCTGTCTTTCTGGTGAGTGCACACGCCCTATAGCGAAAACCTCCCCCCCTCCAAAAAAACAATTTACATTTAACTGTTAGACATTTTTGTGGAGTGCAGTATGGTTTTCCAAAGCATGTACAAGGTGTGTGATCATTAAAGATATTATATTCATCAGCTTCAACAAAGAACATTACATCATGTTGTGTACTTTTATTTATGTATGTATGTATGTGCCAGAGGGCACAAGCCGTCACTAGAGAGACAGCAAGTAAGAGAAAGAGGGAGAAAGCATCGCCCCCATCGGGGGAGTGGGTAGTCACACTGCCGTCCCTTCTCCATTTCTCCATCCTTTTGGGATTTGGTATATGCACACGTGTACATGAACCTAGAATGTTTTTCACGCCACCCCAAACCAGCATTTGAACTGTGGTTTTTTGCCATGTGGGATCTTGTTCCCTTAACATGTGGTCACAGATGAACCCTCTTCAGTCTCTTAAAATGAAACAGTTTTGGGACCAGCTGATGGTATAATGGTTACATAGCTGGACTCCCACATAGTCAATGGCAATTCGAGTCCCAGACCCACAGCTTAAAGCTCACTCTTGGTGCATGTGTGTGCGTGCCCAAAATCCTGAGATGGAGAATGGAGGAGACAGGATTGCAGTGTGGCCACAAAATGGTGATTTCTCGCTTTCTGTGTTTCTGTCTGTCTCTTTCTCCTTGGCAAATATAAGCACTCTACAGCAAAAATCTCTCTTAAACAATTTCTTAGTCTTTGTCTTTTATAACCTTGAAGACTTACAGACTAGTTTTTTGTAGAGTGCCTTTAATTTAAGTTTCTCTGTTTCCTCATGACTAAATTTATGATGTGCGCCTTTTTTTTTTTTTTTTTTTGCTGTAGGTCGCATGTGCTCACCAGAGACACAGAGAGAGAAAGAAGAGAGAGAAAGTTAGAAAATAAAGTACCTCTCAAGAGGGATGGTCGCACTACAATCCCTTCTCCTCCATTCTTCTCTCAAGATTCTGGGCATGTATGCACACACTCATGGTGTGTTTTTCAAGCCACCGGTTCCAGGGCTTGAACTGTGCATTTGGTCCCGTGGGATCCAGCTACCTGAACCACCATGCCGCCTGGCTGACCCAAAATACCCTGTATTTTTTCAACGAACTTTTATCTATGCTTTTTTTTAGAATCCATTGATAATTCTTGCTTGAAGCAGTTATTACCATGGTGGCTATTAAGTGACTTTAATCCTGTCACCTGGTCCACATATATCAGTTGACATTCTAATGAAAAGTTGAGCTTCCCCTTCTGTTTTATTCTGTGATGATCATATCAGCATGATTCATGGATTGTGTCGTGTGGGCGTGCTTGCACTTGTGCACATCGTGTTTCTGACACCACTGGGTTTGGGTTCCAACCACGCAATCGGCCCTCTGAGATATGACTGCCTCAAGCAGCAGGCCACGAAGTCTGTCCTACATTGTGAAATTCACAGCAAAAGGAAAGTAGGAATAACGTAGGCTCCCATTTTCCCTTCATCTGTGGTTATCCTATGCTGTACTCTTAAACCAAGTTTAAAAAACACTTTCTACCAACCCATACACATAGCTTTCTATTTATAATGCTCTTGGAAAATCTTCAAAACACTAACCCTATACTTGAGCTGTTTCACAAAATATTTATTCCTTGCCATAGTCAGAGAGCTCAGTACTTGGTAGGCAGAGGATAAGTAGGTCGGTTTTATCCCTAAACAGTGAAACTGATACAATGGGGATGTATTTTTCACTCTTTTGGCTTTACTTATTTATTTGAAAATTAAATGAGTAAAGATACATTTCTGCTCTGTTGATTTTTTTTCCCCCATCTGATGTCAAGATACATGTTAACATGTTGTGTTTTCTTAAATTCAGTTTTACCTTCAGTGGGAAGAGTTCCCAAATTAAAAGAGTTACCCATAAGAAAGGACTTAATTGTGTTTGGAGTCCTTATGGACCTTTCCGATTTTGAAAATTAAATGAGTAAAGATACATTTCTGCTCTGTTGATTTTTTTTCCCCCATCTGATGTCAAGATACATGTTAACATGTTGTGTTTTCTTAAATTCAGTTTTACCTTCAGTGGGAAGAGTTCCCAAATTAAAAGAGTTACCCATAAGAAAGGACTATTCGAAGATTGGAGTCCTTATGGACCTTTCCGATATTCGAAGATTGGAGTCCTTATGGACCTTTCTGATATTCGAAGATTGGCGGGTGTTCATTTTCTACCTAGACTGTGTTTCTGGTTTCAAGGAGAGTAGTTCACTCTGGTTGCTATAAATGATATATTCATACTGTTATAAAACTGAAATGTTGAGTAAGAAAGATGGCCAAAGGAAGAAGACCGGTTTCTGTCTTCATTTGTGTCAGGTTCTCTCAAGTAGTGCCGCCAGTACTACCATCACAGCACTGTCCCCTGGAGGGGCACTCATGCAGGGAGGGACACAGCAAGCCATAAACCGTAAGTACTGGGGCACTTTCTCCTGCTGCTTTGTTCCTTAGAATAAGCTGTGAAGTGCAAACTGGAGGAGTGCTGAACTTTTACTGGTTTTTATTTGGAATGTTTCTAGGATTTTTGTTTTGTAGATTTATTTTTATACATTTAGATTCCAAAGCTTATCTAGATAAGAACTTCCATTTCAGAAATGTCATACTAGTCCATACAGTGTTACTTGGCTGGTCTCCCTAATAGCACACTGAAATCTTGTTTTATTTCTTCCCTACCTCTTAGAATAAATGAAATTCTGAGTTTCTTCAGAATCCCAAGTGATTTAAAATTCTGTATCTCTCAGCCACAAAATTAATAACTTATCTCAAAATAACATGTCCTGATTTTGCACTGGCAAAATGTGTATTCAGGTTTATTTGATCATTTTATTAGGAATGGTTCATGTGTGAAAATACCTTTTATCCTGTAGATTTCTTCCTTCTTTTGCAGAAATGGTGCCAAATGATATTCAGTCTGAATTGAAACACTTGTATGTAGCCGTTGGAGAACTTCTGCGGCATTTCTGGTCCTGCTTTCCCGTTAATACGCCATTCCTGGAAGAAAAGGTTGGACCTGATTGTGAACACACTCATCTGTTGTGACTTTTAGTGTGAGACGTCATTTTGAAATCGGAAAAAAAAATTTTAAGAATTATTTATTTAATATTATTATTATAACTATTTTTAAATTTGCTATAGGGCACTTTATTGAGTGTTTACCAGTGCCATCACTGGGATAGTTATATACATTATTTCTTTTAAGCTTCACAACATCTTGAAGAGCAGAGCCCCAGAACAAATCACAATACTTATTTATTTTATACATTTTTAGGATAGTGAAATCTGAAACAAAGACCAATCACTATTGTAGCACTTGCTGTTTAAGCACTAAAACACTCTTAACCAGCTCCATGACAGTGGAAGAAGACAAATGGACAAATGGAGAGAAAAATCGTTTTGTTTTTTTTTTAATTTGCAATAGGGTATGTGCGCTCACTAGAATTGGGAGGATGGGGGAGAGAGAGTACAGGGGGAGGGGTGGCCACACCTCAATCTCTTCTAAAATGTGAATAGCACTAACAGTAATAGTAATTTACCATACACATTGCTCTTATAGGCAGTCATTAAGAAAAAGATAAATACATCATAAAAAAAAATGAAAGACGTAAGAGATGATTTACTAAAGAATGCAAGTAGCTCAGTAAGCTTAAGAAGAAATTTTCAAATTAGTATCTAGTATTCGAGTGAATTAAAGCTATAGATGGGCCAGCCAGTGGCGTGATGGTTAAGGTGACTGGATCTCACATGACTGACTGCAGTTCAAGTCCCGGACCCAGCAGTTTGAAAAACACCAGCCCTGTGTGTGTGTGTGTGTGTGTGTGTGTGTGTACAAATCACAAGAGAAGAATAGAGGAGAAGAGATTGCAACATGGCCATCCCCTCTGGCGAGTGTGTTTTCACTTTTCCCTGTCTCTCTCCCCAGCAAGCACATGCGCCCTATAGCAAACTTTAAAACTATAGAGAAAGAATTTTTTTCACCTAATTTTCAAAATAATCAAAAAATTAAATGATCTATGTTGGCCCACATTACTAAAAGAAGAGCCTTTCTTCCACTGTTTGTATGATATTTTTTTTCAAGTGCTTTGACTTAGAAATCCAACATTTACCCTAGGATATAATTAAGAAGTTACATAAACATTTAGCCACAGTGACGTTTTTATACCACTAAGATAGGAAAAATTGAAATGGCTTGTCAAAGGAGATTAAAGAAGCATTTGCTTTGGTCATACATAGAAACCCTATCTATTTAAAATAATGCCTTAGAAGAAAGATGTTCCCATTTAAACCACCTGAAATTTAGATAGTGTGGACTGTATTTTTCTACATATATATATATATTTGCTTGCAAGCACAAAAAAAAAATCAAGAAGCTTATGAATTAATAAAAATGTTAACATGGATCTCTGAGTGGAAGGATGTAATAGGTATATCTTTTTTTTTTTTTGCATTTTATGAAGTTTTCTATAGTAAAAATAACTTACCTATATAGTGTTTTTCTCTTAGCTACTGCAGGTTCTTTCTGATTTTCTGTAACTCATTGTTTCTCATCTACTTTAGGTAGTGAAAATGAAAAGTAATCTGGAACGATTCCAAGTCACAAAACTCTGCCCATTCCAAGAAAAAATTCGGAGACAGTATTTAAGCACAAATGTAAGGTGACAGTTTGATTTTGGCCTGATTTTTCTTTGTTCTTTGTCTTTGTAGTAAAATTGTGACATTAACTTTGCTTTCATGTAAATGAGTTTATTTTTTTTTCTGTTGCTTGAAGTGCTGATTTTAAATTCTAAAATGTACATTCAGAAGACTATAAATAATAAATAGGTATTCACTCATCATGGAAAGTAGTATAGTATTACCATGATGGGACCAGCAGGTGGCATGGTGGTTAAGATACTGGGCATTCCCACATGGCCAGCCACAGTTCAAGCCCTGGACTTGGTGGTTTGCTTTGCTTTCCCTCTTTCTCTTTCTCTCACTGTGTGTGTCTGGTCAAATCAAAATAGAATGAATGAATAAATAAAATTAATTAAATAATTTTTAAAAAACAGTATTACCATGAGCCTTAGGTATTCACTGAGTGTCCCTGTTTAATTGCACACCGCTTCCTCCTAGCCTCCAGAGGTCAGGACTAATCAGTCATTTTTGATATTAATTTCCATGCTTTTTCTTTATTTTCTCTCTTTTTTAAAAAATTTACTCCTGGGTGCCTGTGCTTATGGGAGAGACAAAGAAAGGGGGAGAGGAAGGGAGGTGAAAAGCACCCTCCACAGGCGGTGGCCATGCCTCAGTTACTTGTCCTTTGTTCTCCTCTCAGGATTTTGGGTGCACACATGTGTGCCCAGCATGTTTTCCAAGCTGCTGGGTCCAGGACTCAAACTGTGTAGTTGACTCTGTGGAATCTGGCCACTTTAACCACCATGCCACTCATTGGCCCTCTCTCTGCTTTTCTTTAGAAGTTTACAACTTATGTTAATGTTTCTAAAATGTGTATTATTGTTATTATTATATAATATGTATGTGTTTCTAAAAATATATATTCTTAATTTGGAAAAACTGAGTAGTGAGCACAAACTTAGCAAGAGTAAGGCAGAACTACAGCAGTATCCAGTTTACTGAACAGTTCTAGGGAACACCAGACTTCGGCACACTGATTCTTTACGGGAGGGAGCATCAGTGGGTGAGGCAGTGAGTGAGGAATATCATTTTGTCCTCAAGATTTTTAGCATTGTTTTTAAAGCAAGGCTGGAGCAACCACAACCATACCAGGTAATTTGTGTGAGTATGTTATAGAATGCCTTCCAGAAATGACTTGGGAAGATTAGTGTATGCATGCGTCAGATTTAGTATTTTAGAAACTATTAATAGGATATTCCAAAGAGGAATTTTACAACTGAAAACAGTCTCCATTGAGTATTTATTCCCTGTTTTAAGTAGTTTTCTTTCAGAATATAAAGCATTACTAAGAAAAGCTGAGTATTTATTACCCTAGCAGTGCAGGGTGGGAGAAAGGTTTCAAGTCATGTGCCTTCTCTATTGATTATAACTACCTGGAGCAATGTGTTGAAAAGGACTTGGGGGCTAGGTGGTGGTGTGTGGTTAATGCAGCTGGATCCTATATTGCCAACTGCACAGTTCATGTCCTGGATCTGGTGGCTTGAAAAACACCAGGCACATGTGCATGTGTGCCCGTAATCCTGAGAGGAGAGTAGGAGAGAAGGGATTCTGGCATGGCCATCCCCTTTTGGAGGTGCTTTCTCACTTCCACTCTGTCACTCCTTGGTGCACACATAGGCCCCATAGCGAATTACAAACAAAAAAGTATTCCAAGGCTGTGTACAGCTTCACAGAAGCGTATGGCATTCATCTCTCTCTCTCTTTTTCTTTCCTTAATTTGCCTAAGGGCACATGCACTTACCAGAGACAAAGGGAGAGGGAGAAAGCACCACCAAACATGGCGTAGTCACACCACAATCCCTTCTCCTCCATTTCTCCATCCTTTCAGGATTTGGGGCATGTATAAACATGTACCTGGCGTGTTTTTCAAACCTCAGGCCGGGATTCAAACTATGTAGTCAGCCATGTGGGACCTGGCTCTCTTACCCACCAGGCTACAGTGTCAGCGTAATCGATACTACGCAGCCCTGCGGCCTACCAAGCAGAATAATTATTTTTTTCTTTTAAATTTTGCTATAGGGTACATGCGCTCACCAGAGGGAGACCGAGGTAGAGAACCTGAGAGAACACCCTTCAGGGGGGATGGCAATCCCTTCTCCAGGTTCCCCTTGGGATTTTGAGTGTATTCACACACACCTGATAAGTTTTTCAAGTCTGGAACTTAAAGCTGGATCCAGCCATCTTAACCACCATGCCACCTGCTGGCTCTGTAATTTTTTAAAACTTGCCAGAGGCAGGAGCTAGCAGGTGGCATTCCTAAAAAGGAAAAAAATGTGCTGTCAGAGGCCACACGCACTCCTACGCCCTTGCCAGTGAGAAAAAAAGTACCAACGGTGGAGTCAGGTCCACTGCAATTGTTTTTCCTCCATTTCGCCATTCTGTCAGGATCTGGGGCACCCAAGTACATGTGGCTGGCATGTTGTTGTTGTTGTTGTTGTTGTTTGGAGAGGTTTTTTTGTTTGTTTGTTTGTTTTAACTATAGGGCGCACGCGCTCACAGACAGAGAGACAGGGAGGCAGAAAGCGAGAAATCACCCCCCGGGGGGGATGGCCACACCGAAATCCCTTCTCCTCCATTTTTCTCTCGGGATCTTGGGCACGCACGCACACACACGCACGGCGTGAGTTAAGCCACCAGATCCAGGACTCAAACTGCGGTCAACTACATGAGAGTCCAGCGACATAGCCATTACGCTAACTGCTGGTCCCAGTGGCTGGCATGTTTTCCAAGCCACTAGGGTAGGCATTTGAACATGTCAATCATGTGGGATCCAGCTTGCGATGCTTGACTAATGCCCTGTGGGGCCAGCTCCATCATATCTAAAGTTTCTAGACAGTCAGCAATAGAATCCCTTTCTCCCTTAATGGTAACGGGCGTTGCCAGTCAGAGCTCTCATTTGTTCAACTCTGTACGTCTTGAATCTCAGTTACTGATATGCTAAAAAGAAGTTTGGACTTCCTGAGCTCCATCCCTACCCTTCCAGAACTGACTCGTAGACTTTAGAGGACTGATTCTAACCACATAAAGACTGTCCACTCTAAGGAAACATACTCCAAAGGTACTCTGCCTCAAGAGTTACTGCTCCTGTTGAGCCCCAGTGTGTCCATGCTGAGGGCAAATTTCTTTAAAGACCCATCATCCCAGCCTAGGATGTGACTGGCATATTGTGGAAAACACTGAAACCATTTAGGTTTGCAGTAATCTATGGAATTATGTTGAAATACTGAAATTTTAGTGCTAAGACCCTAAAACAAAATGAAACCAGAAAAGTGCTTCACAGAATTATCCACAGAAAATAACTCCATGAAAGCTTTTGAAATTCATAGATTTCTGAGTTTCATCCTAGGCTTTTGAATTAAAAGTCATAAAAGGAGTAGTTTGTTTTGTTTTTAAACAGATTTTTTGCTATAGGGCATATGTGCTCACTGGAGAGACAGAGACAGAAAGCAGGAAATCAGCCCCAGGAGGATGGCCACACTGCATTCCCTTATCCTCCATCCCCCTCTTGGGATTTTGGGCATCATGCAAACGTTCCCAGTGTATTAAGCTGCTGGATCTGGGACTTGGCCCTCACTCTGCCATGTGGGAGTCCAGCACCTTAGCCACAACACCACCTATTGGCCCAGGAGTGAGGTGTTTTAAAAAATACTCTGTGGATGATACTGGAACACCACCATCCTGGCCTTAGTTGGCAGGTCAGTATCTTGGTTTTGGAGTTTTGAATTTTGTTTGACAAGAGGATGCACAGACATTGCTAGAGAGCAAGAAAGAAAGCACCCCCTTCCCAGTAAGCAGGTGCTTTTTCCTCCATTTCTCCATCTCTTCAAGATTATGGGCAGGGACACACATATGCTTGGTATTTTATTTCCTGCCACTTGGATTTGAACCACCATCAGCCACGTGATATCCAGCTCCCTGTGCACAGGGTTTAACCATTGCACACAGGGCAAGGCCAGCTTATGTTTTTAAGGTTTATCTTTTTCTTCCATGAGAGGGATAGAGACAGATACTGCCAGCAGGTCTTTATGCTATAACCGCCCCCAGCATCAACCCACCTGAGTCACAGGTATGTGTGTATACACAACCCTGAAGTACAGGGAGGCTCTGATGCAAACCCGGGACCTTTCTATATGGGTCCAGTTGTGTTTCTGTTGCATCACCATCTTGCCTCAGCAGACCTGTGTTTAAATTTAGAGATCACGGGACCAGCAGTTGGTGTAATGGCTGTGTCGCCGGACTCCCATGTAGTCGACCGTGGTTGGAGTCCTGGACCCAGTGGCTTAAACTCACGCCGTGTATGTGCGTGCCCAAGATCCCAAGAGGAGAATGAAGGAGAAGGGATTGTGGCATGGCCATTCCCCCGGGGGGTGATTTCTCGCTTTCTATCTATCTCTCTCTCTGGTGAGCACATGTGCCCTGTAGCAAAAACCTCTCCAAAAAAAAATTTTTTTTTTTTTAGAGATCACTGATTTAGTTGTCTTTCCCTTGAGAAAAGAAATTAGAGCCTAGAGCACAGTTCCAACTTTCGTGTTGTCCATTGTCCTATCTGGGGACAGACATTACTACTAAGAACCGTTGACTTTCGAGCACGCCATAGTCTCGCTTACCTTTCCTTACAAAATCTGTCTGGTCACTCTGTAACTGAGGGCTTGCTCGTGCCTCGTTGACTAGGAAAGCAGAGTTGAGCTCGGAAACTGCTGTGATGTGTGTCCCAGATTTGAGTCAGAAGTGTGAGCTTCCCCTTCCTTCCTGACTGTCGTTAAGCATCTTGCTGTTTTCCAGTTGGTGAGTCACATAGAAGAGATGCTCCAGACAGCCTACAACAAGCTCCACACCTGGCAGTCACGGCGCCTGATGAAGAAGACGTGAGGTGTCTGTGGCGCTTGTAGGTTCTGTGAGATGTGAGAACTGTGACCTGCAGTGACTCTGGAAACCTGGCCTGACAGACCTGCAGATGAGTGACAAGAAATGCCTGCACCATGCCGACCCCGAGCTGATGCTGTTGTACTTGCACATTGGGAACTGAAAGGAAGAAAGGGACTAAGAGTCAACTAAATGCCGGGGAGGTAAATAAGGCCAAACCAAAATGAGCTAAGTTGCAAATATATATATATATATATAGACATATATATATATATAGACATACATATATATATTTTAAAAGACTGTTTACTGCAGTTACTCAGGAACTGCTTTTGATTTACATTAAGCTGCTTTCAGAACTATTAAAAGAAAAAACACTTTTTAAAAAGGGTGCATTGGTAAAATCTGAGGGTTTTATGTTGTTTGTTTTTGTTTTTCTGTGTACTTTTTTTTCTAAATTTATGGCACAGGGTAGACCTTAAGTATTTCTCCTCCATCCTCCACTTGGATCCTCGAGTTTTACTGAGTTCTAGTTGTACCTTCCATCAGCAAGCTGAAGAGGGTACTTTAAACTAAAGCAGAGGGAGACTGTTGCTTAACCATCAGGAAACAGTTGTAGTCGGAAGACATCATTGGTTCTGTGTTTCCTACGGAAATAAGCAGTTAAAATATTGCACTGAATGTTTGTGGTTTGGCGTCCCTGAATAATAAAGAGGGGACATACTTGCAGAAAGTCACTTGGTTTTTTATGCAGAATTTTGTCAGAAGACAGCGATGCTGCATGTTTTCTTTTGAGTGCAAATGTACATTGCGAAGATTTTTTTTTAAAAGATGGCATGTGCTTTGAAAAGAGGAAATTGCATTTTTAAGAGTTTAAGAGTCTTATGAGTGAGAAATATAAGAAATCTTACTTATTTTCACCTCTTTAGAAGAAATAAACGATGTTTCTCATATCTCCTTTTCTCCAGCATCTGACTGTTACTGTCCTTGGCGAATCGATAATCATTGCATAGTGACTGAAAAGGCTAAGTGCAAAAAAAAAAGTGAGAGATATGTTCTTGTTTCTGGACTCCGTGCCATATTTGTTCCTAATAGGATCAACTCATTGTTTATCTAAGACTTCAAATGTCTTGTATTAAAAAATACACAAAAAAGTAAAACTTTTTATAGACCCTCTTCTAACTCTCACACAGCCTGTCGTTTCTTTCTCATGTGTGATGTTCATTTGGGTGGGCTGCCGGGGGCTGCTCACGCTTTGCTAAGGCGTATTCCAAGCTGCTCCGCCGTCATGTGGTGGTACACAGGCGAGCACCTGTTCACGTGAACTGGCAAGAGGGAAGGGAGGCCACATTGTTTTCTGCTTCCAGTCTTCCCATTTCCCTTCAGATCAGTATGGCAGTGATGTGATTCCTTAAACCCTACTGTTTCACAGAGTGCTTTTCCAGTGTGTTAGCACCACGGTTATTCTGAGGTTATTCTCAGCAGAGCGGTGGGGCAGAGAGAAAAATGTCTGAAGTAAAAATTAAGTCTCGGAAATGCCAGGCATAAATGAAATGGTCTGGTGAGTGTTGTATTAAAGATCGATGTGTACGATGGAACCTGAAGAAAAAGGAAAATATGGAGAAACTAGGGAAATCACTAAAATATTACATTTTAACTCAGCTTCCAAGGTTGAAATAGGATTTTCAAGGTAGAGAAAGAATGTCATTTGTTCTCGACCTAGGAAAGAACATGATGAAGATGTAAAGGTTTGAAAGACTCCAGTGTGTTGAAGGAATAGGAAAAATTCTTTATATTGAGACCAGCAGATGGCATAGCAGTTACATACTGGACTCCCACATGGCCAACCCAGGTTCAAGCCCCAGACCCAGTGGCTTGGAAATCCCACCAGACTTGTGTGCGTACATGCCCAAGAGCACTGGAGGAGAATAGAGGAGAATGGATTGCAGTGTGGCCATCCCTTGTGGGAGGTGATTTCTCACTTTCCTCTCACTGCGTCTGTCTCTCTTTCTCTCTGGCAAATGCATGCACTCTAAGGCAAAAACCTCTTTTTAAAATAAGAAAGAAAGAACTCTACATTGGAGGGGTGAGAATGACAAGTGAGATTGGGAAAAAAATATTTTGAGAGAGATTTTTGTTATAGGCCACGTGTACTCACCAAAAAGACAGAAAAGTGAGAAATCCTCCCCTCCGCCAGTGGGAGAATGGCCATTCTGCAATCTCGTCTCCTTTTTTTTTTTCCATGATTTTGGACACACACATACACACAGTGTGTTTCAAGCCACCAAGTCTGGAACTTGAACTGCAGTCAGCCATGTGGGAGTCAAGTGCCTAACTACTACACCACCAGAAAACCTTTTTTTAATTCAGGTTGGAAATGGTCTTAGCCATTGGAACTGGAGGTCCAGGGCAGAGATTTTAACAAGTAATTATCTTTATAGGGTTTGTTTTAAATAAAAGATTCTGTCAAGGTAGCCTGCTTTTGGAATAAACAGGACTGGAAATTAGATCCAAATTAGAGTCCTGGCAATAAAAAGGAAAGAACTGAGTGAAGACACTCCTAAGTTGTATGTGACTGAGTTCCAGGGAATGAAGGGACCCATGGATGATTTCTCCAGGGAGAACCCTCGATTTCTCATCTAGCTTGCATTTGAACTATTTGAGCCTCGGAATCCTTTAAAGATGAACTCGGTCAGACATATGGGCCTCCCATGGCCCCCCCACCTTCCCATTATGGAAATTGCAGCAGCTGCTGCTAAGAGCTACCGTAGGACAAGCAAGTGGCGTACTGGTTACAGAGCTGGACTCCCATGTGGTCAATCACAGTTCTAGTTCTGGACCTGGTGGCTTGAGCCTCAAGCCAGATACATGTGTGTGTGCACCCATAATCTCAAGAGGAGAATGGAAGAGAAAGGATTGCGGCCTGGCCATCCCCTTTCAGGAGGTGACTTCTTGCTTTCTCTTTCTCTCTCCTCGGTGAGCTCACGTGCCCTAAGCAAAAACCTCTCTATTAAAAATAAATAAATAAATAAATAATAAAGCTACCATAAACCAGCAGCATGCCAAGCGCTTTTCCTGCAGCTATCTCACTTCATTCTCAAAACAGCTGATGGAGCTGGTAGATACTACAGACAGCTGCATGGGTTAGAGATGGTTTAGAGGTTGAGTAATTTACCCAGGTTCATACAGCCAATAAGTGGTGAAGCTTGGGTTTACTAATGAGCATCCCCACCTGTGCTTCTATTGCCTGATTTTGCCATTGACAGCTTGTTCCTCAGATTCCATTCTGTGCTTCATTTGTTGCAAATCGCATTATGGGATCTGCCCGGTAGATGCCATTAGCCCAGACGGTGCAGGATGTAATAATGTCATGAAAACGTACCGTTTCCTTCTGGGAAGAAGCATAAAGTCAGTCGTGTTAATCTGCTATGGATTTGTGATACAACATGAGCATGGTACTGCTGTGGTTTGTGTCCCCACAAAGTTCACGTGTTGAGGTTTGGTTGTAAACGTATTACGAGGAAACTTAATACCTTCCTGGGTCAGAAGGTGAGACATTTGGGCGTAGTTGAGTCGGGTGGGGCCCCTATGATTGACTCCTGGTGTAAGAAAAGGGAAGGAGCCCAGAAGAGACACGCCTGGGTGCAGTTGCCCACGCCTGTTCCCTTCCTGCATGGCCCCAGGACCCACTAGCGGGAATACCCTTACCAGAATGGCCCTTAGACCCTGGTACTCCATACTGTTAGCTGGATAAACTCTGTTCTCTTAAATTACCCAGAGCCAGATATTTTCTGTTACTAGCCAGGGAACAGACTAGAATAGGTACCTTGTAATAGCCACTTGAGTCTGGAAAACCAGCAGTTATTAACATCCACGCTTAGAAAGGTCACCCACTCCTGGAGCTGCGAGTTTTAGCAGAAAGTGATTTCCTGTTGATGCATACATCATCTCTCCAGAGCGGACAGTGCCCTGGGATGGAAAGCTGCCTGTTTTAAACTTAGATTTGCTGTCTCGAGTGTCAAGACTTGCATGGGATTCCTCAGGATTACCTCTGCCCTTTCCCAGTTTAGCTCCTTCAAGACTCAGCTGTTCTCCCAGTTCTTGAGGCCAAGGAACTGGTAGTTATTTTCAGCTCTTAAATCGTCCAGTGCTGGAGCATTGCCTAGAAACTGATTCAGGAGCGATGAGCCTTGGTTTGTAGTCCACCTCATTGGTTGTACGTTAAAGTCACAGAAGAGACTCAAGATCTTGTCGGCTGGCGTTCAGACTTTGTCATCTCAGCGCCCTGTTTCCATAGTCTGTCACTTCGGCACCATGTCACGGAATCCGTAATACATGTGATAAATGGAGTAGCACCTGCTAAGGTGAAGCCAGAGCTCCAGCTCCTCCCGCACCCCAACACAATGAAAATTAAGAACCAATACTCTCTCTGGCCACCTGGCAGCCTCTGTGGTTACTGGGATGGCTGATCACGAGGAGTGAGCTGAAACTGAAGTGTGAAGTAAATTCTGACTTAGATTTTGCATGTCTGTGATTACAGAAATGAAGGGCAAGATGGTAGACTTAAACCCAAATATTCAGTAATCACATTAAGTGTAAAAAAACTAAACGCAGATTTCTCTTTTTTTTCTTAGTTCCCCCCACACACACACACTTAGGGCACATGTACTCACTGGAGAGAGCAAGAGAGACAGTGAGGGGAAAAGTGAGAAATCACCCCCTCCAGGGGAGATGGCCATGCTACAATCCCTTCTCCATTCTCCTCTGGGATGTTGGGCACGTGCATGCACCCAGAATGATTTTGAAGCCACTGGGACCAGGACTCGAACTGCTTTCAGCCATGTGGAAGCCCAGTGACGTAACCACTACACCCTCTACTGGTCCCAGACTGCACACTTAGATTTCAAAGACTCAACTCTATGCTAGTTAGAGTCACAGAAATGTCTCCACTTGCCTTAGATTTTTTGGTTTTTGTTTTGCTATAGAGTGTATGTGCCTGCTCTTGTCAGACAGAGGGAGAAGAGAAAGCACCCACCCTCCTTGGGGAATGGTCATGCCACAGTCCTTTCTCCTCCATTTCTTTGGGGGTTTGGGACACACACGTACACATCTGGTGTCTTTCTCAAGCCACTGGGTCTGGAACTTGACCATATAGTAGGCCATGTGAGATCTGGCTACCTTAAACACTGGGGTCCAAGCTTTTCTTCCTTCCTTCCTTCCTTCCTTCCTTCCTTCCTTTCTTTTTTCTTTTTTTGTCAGCTGGCACATGTATTAGCCAGGTTGTGGGGGGAGGGAAGCACCCCCCAACGGAGGGTGTTCTTGCTACACACACACAGCCCCAGGGCTGGAACTCAAAACCTCATTGGGCCATCTGGCATCCAGCCTTCTGCACAGCACTTAACCACTGCGTTCCTGGGCCAGCCCTGTTTTAAGTTTCGAATAGTACTGAAGTATGTAAACTGTTGGGTTGTCGGGAACGTCATGATGCATTTTTCTATCATGACGTTCCCAACAACCCAATAGAAACTGCCTCTGTATGGGACCAGCAGTTAGCGTAATGGCTGTGTTGCTGGACTCCCACGTAGTCGACTGCAGTTCGCGTCCTGGACCCGGTGGCTTAAAAAACTCACACCGGGCACATGTGCGTGCCTGCCCAAGATCCCAAGAGGAGAATGGAGGAGAAGGGATTGAGGCGTGGCCATCCCCCTTGGGCGGGGGGGGGGGTGATTTCTCGCTTTCTGTCTCTGGCGAGCACGTGCGCGCCCTATAGCAAAAACCTCTCCAAAAAAAAAAAAAGAAAGAAACTGCCTCTGTACCCTTACCCCAAGTCTCACTCTCGATGTAGTACTCCGTGCGTTTGACTCTGGACATTTTTCAGTGTACTTAAATTCTTTTTCTACTCTTCAATCTGAGATTTTTCAGACAGACATCTGAAGTTATGGTTATGCCCTTTAAGATAGGGCCTCATCTCCTTAGAGAAGAATCCACTGGTGGTCCTGAATTATAAGCCATGTTCTTGTGAATTTTGGTCTTATCCATTAAGTTTCCTATTTCTGGCACCTGGGTTATTCATGAGAACAGGTTATACCATGACTTAATAGGAATCCTTGGAATTTAACAAATACCGACCGTATCCTTATTACCCTAGAAGGCATAAAAGGCCCATGAAGGACACCGA